GTCAGATTGCCATTCGCTTTCTTGCCCCAGGTGCCTTGCTAGTGCCTGTGCGTCCCCAAATCTCTCTAAAAACTTGCATCTTCCCTCACCCTGCGCAAGCACCTTCTCTTCCCTCACGTGCAGCCTCACTCTTCTCTTCCCTCACGTGCAGCCTCAGAGGCTGGTCGGCATCCAGAACTGCATGTCCGTTGTGTGCCTGGGTGTTTGCTCTGCTTGCCGGTACCTGTGTGCCCCAGCTGGTACCCTCTAGCAGGGCGCGGGGGCTGCCGATGGATGAAAGCCAAGCCTGGCCCTGCAGCTCATCCCGTTAGCGCAGTGTACGTGTCCCGAGCAGTCCCAGCACGGCAAGCGTGGCATCTGCAGGGCTGCGATCCAGTCCGTAGAGCTGCACAAAACAAACGGGCTGTGACACCACAGCAGAGCACTTGAGCCTCTCCGGCTTGACACCGCATCGTTATATATTGATGCCATGACACCAGCGCTCAAAATAGAATCAGGACAATTTGATTTCCTGCAGATCTCAGGATGGGGTCATAAAAACGGAGACTGTTCTGGAGAAATGGGATCGGGTGGAAATGTTTGTAGTGACATCACAGCCCCTTCCATGCCAATGGCCTCCTACTGCTGCAAACATGTGATTGTGATTTTGCTGCACGCTCCATCAGAAAAAAAAAAACAGGCTGGCTGGGGAGGGAGAGGGAGGGAGGAGAAGGGACAGAAATATTCTGTTCTTGTATCTCAATTCAAGTATCTGACAATAGCCTCGCAGCCCAGGGTGCTGAGTGATCAGGAGTGGGACTGTGGAGCTGAGACGACTGCCAGATCAGTGGAGCTCAGGGGGTTGTGGCAACCTAACCAGGGGCTGAATAAGGTCCTTTGGTTTTACAGTGGAGGATCCTGGTCTGCTTTGGGGTGCTTTACTGGAGAGCTGGGTGGTCTTGTTGTGCTCACTCTTCCTCACTGGTCCCATTTACTTCTAACACCACTCTCCTTGGCAGGAAAAACATTCAGGCATGAAATATGGCTGCAAAAGCCACGGCGTAGCTGTTGGCTTTCAGGGGTTCCCATTAGAGAGAGGAACAGATCACGGTGTTGGAGTTTCACCTGCGAAGCAGGGAGCAGCGGAGAGGGATTTAAGTAGTTGAGGATAGAGAAGGAAAGAAGAGAGAAAAGAGAGGGAAGAAACAGAGGCCACCCAGAAAACAAAGCTAGTTTGTGTCTGAGGACATTGCCAGAGGAAATCTCATGTCGGTTGCCCCACAAAAGGCACTGATGGCTGCAAAGCCCATCTTAGTAGCAATGTCCTTCCCAAGAAACAGCCTGCAGAGACCAGCACTGGCTGCATCCAGCACACGTAGCCTTGGGGGGCTGTGGAGGGAGCAGTGTCTGCGGGGCGGACAGGGGAGCAAAGGGATCCAGCTAATGCACCCGTCTATCAGATTAGGCTGTCAAAAACCCAAACCACTTCCATCACTGTCTGAGGAGAGATTCTTGCTCCCTGCCTAATGGGATGGCGGCCCTGTTGTTGCCACTCCAGGGAGAGGGGCCACTGCCACCACAGTGTGCAGCAGGCTGCGAGTTTAAAATCCTATTAGGCAGAGACTAACAGTTGCAAAAAGAAAGCAGGTATCCCCTAGTGGGGATTTAAAGATGTTTAGACATAATTGGATTTTCCAAGCAGATGTCATTATTGTTAAACAGTTGCCCACTTGATATGTTCAAGTTGTTGGCTGTAATTGCTAAAATTAGCAGGTCTGCATAGAGCAAAGGTCAGTCGGTTAATATTGTGATTTAGTATTTTATGAAGTAATTCCAAATGCTTTTATGTATGTTTTTGTTTTTGCAGCCTAAGCCCACATTAAAGTAGTTGTGGGGCCTGCTAATAAAATAATGACTCAGCCTCTCCGCGCAGGCTGCCGGCCGGGCTCGGCACGGGCGCTCAAAAAAAAACTCCCTGGTGCCGCAGGGCCGGTGGGGCCACGCACTTGGCTTTGGTGCTGCAGTCAAACGAGAGGCTTCAAACTGCCCCCCCGATGTGATGTGTTCAAGCTGGTGCTTGAAATGAGCCCGTCGTGTCCAGTGGTGGCTGGAAGGATGAGGGGCTGTTTTCCATCGGCAGCTGCACGAAAGGCTCTGCCGCGGGTACCTGTGGTCCTTGTAGGTGGATGGACTGCACGTGCAAGTGCATGCAAGCACCTTCAGCCATGAGCACACCTGAAAGACGCACCACTGACCAGGCAAGGTCCCAAAATACAGTTTTTTAGAGGGAAGATGCATTTCTGGAAGAGGAGTAGAGAGCTGGAACTGGGCGAGGTAAAGAAGGCTCCCATGTTGTGCCATGGCTGGACATCTGGTGCTGCCTCCTCCATCACTGAAGCTGCTAAATGGCATGAGAAAAAGCTTTTAAAAACTCCTCAAAGGTGATAGTGTTTCGTTGGCAGGTGCAGCATTAGTCTCATCCCACGTCCGGAGACAGGCAAGGGTTTCCTTCCAAGACAATCTTTCTCTGTAACAGAGACACAACCCATTTCCATGGATGGTCTGGGCAAACCTGGCACATTTCTTGTCTTTAAGGGAACACAGGAATTTGCTAACACAGTCTGACCTGCTCTCTTACTACTAGACCTTTATGGTTGTCTTTTTTTTTTTCCCTTAATCTCAGATCTTTTACTTGCAGAAATTGCTGCAAGATATTTTGTGGCCTGCAGTGCATGGGGAGATGTGGAAGAGGATCTGTAGGTCCTCCTGGAGTCGACACTTACTGGGTGAGCTGGGTCCGTTCCCAATCTGTGTTCCTGTATTCCCAACAGCAGGTTTTGGTATGTGGAGGAGCAGGAGCTCTCTGCTGCTGCAACCACAGTGGAAACGCTCTGACCCGGGGATGGAAAAAGGAAGCACTTGCTCTTAGATGCTGCCTTAGATACTGACACAAGAGAGGGAATTGCTGACCCATGGTAGGACAGGTCTAAGATGTGTGTAGGTCTGCACATCTTGATCTCAGATCAAGAAATATTGATGTGCATACATAAAAATATCCCATTAGAGACGAGACTGAAGCAAAGTTTTAGCCCTAGCAAGATGATAAGATTGAGGAGCTGGGAATTCAACTCTGGTCCAGATTTCAAAACACGTTATTTTGATCAAAGACCATTTCAGTTTCCGATCCAAAACGTGCAGTTCATTTTCTTGTTGGTTTCTTTTTTTTTTACCTTGGACTTCTTCCGAAGTAGCATAAGGTGAATTCAAGAAGCCATCTCACATCAACATGGTGTTCGCAGGGAGAGTAACAGCAGAAATATTTACTTGTAGTGTTTGACCCAACCAAAATAATCTTTCTGTACCAAGCCCCTTAAATCCTTCTGTCCTCGGAGTCGCAATGCCTGCAGGACTGCTGATGGCTTCCAAACTGTGGAGGTGCAGTAGACAGGGTTTGGCCCTGCACCAAGGTTTTCCCTGCTCCCATGGCTGCTGGCCTCCCTCCATGAACCCAGCGTGCACTTAGACTTGTGTCCCAGTGCTGTGTCTTTTTCTTACTGGGAAAGAGACTCACAGGGACTTAACATAACAAGTGTAGTTTTGGTCTGTTTTTCTAAGCTGGGCATGGCATCAGTTGCTAAGAAAGGTGATTTAAGCTTCATTTTTCTTTTTAAAACTAAAAGTTTTTGATTAAAGGGTGGCAGTATTCTGGCTCATTTAACTTAGTGCTCAATGTTCGGAGTCCTTTACTAGTATCACTGCCTCGCAATCTCCTTCAGAGCATGGGAGTCTGTTATTCCCATTTTACAGCAGAGGAAACAGATGCAAAGACCTGCCCAAATGCAGGCAGCAATTGCAATCTGGATTAGAGTGAAAACGTCCCTGAAAGCCAGTTTCAGTCTCCTGGGAGACATCAGTGGTCAGGGCAAGCTGGGAAACTCAGGGGGATGTAGCGTGGGACCAAAAATAAGAGACGTGTAAGATTTTAAATGCCTAAGGTGATCTGGCCAAGCAAGAAACAAGGCTCAGCAGTTCCTGTCAGCACAGGGGAGGGCGGAAATGTGGGGACTGCATTCCTTAGCTCAGTGGAGGACGAAAGCAGCATGCTGGCAGCCTGTGCAAGAAATGCATTGTGAACTGGCTCTTGCAGCTGTGAGCAAGACAATAAGGATGGTAAAGCACCGTCTTAGTCTCCAGCTTTGTGCAAAGAGGGAGCTAAACTCAGCCCCTTGGAATCCGTTTGAATGTAGCTCTTTTTGTTTGAACGGCTCCAAGCAGAAAGGGACCATAAGTTGTCTCGGTTCAAGAGCCGAGACATGCTCACTTTCAGCCCTTGAGCTACACGGTGCTTCCATCAGGGTCTCTAGTCATAATTTGCAAGGTGTTCAGAAGAAAGCCCCCGTTTTCTTCTACAGTCTGAGAAATTAGGTTTCCTTCTCTCCTTTGTTTCTTCCTATGCCAGCCCTCTAGGCTCCACATGACCCACTGAACCTCCCCCACCTTCTTGCCTGTGTACAAAAACTTTTTCAATGAGTATGCATCTTCTCATACACCGAAGGTAGGATATTCCTCACTCAGCCTCAGGGTTGTGTATGAGAGTCACTCAAGTCTTTATTCTTCTAGCTAGTGGACTTCAAGACTGGCATTTCAAGGAGTGAGGAGAGGACCTATAGCTTGTCATAGAGCTCTCTTATCTGTCCATCAACCAGCCTGCCTCCTCTTGCTATATTAATCAACTTGGTCTCTTTGGCAAACCAGCAAGGTTGCTTTCACATGTATCTGCTATACCTATTTACTGAACAAGTACTATCTATCACCTTACACAGGGCTAGTAGAGTCCCACTCCTTAGTTTAGCATTAACTCCATACCTTTACTTATGAAGTATTTGTTCCCAATCATTGAGAAGTCTGCATCGGTTGTGTGATGAACTCAGCATTTATTAATACTGCTTGTAGTAGGTCCCATGCGATGAGCAATGAGAGCACATCCCACAGCTTGCAGTTAATGCTTGTGCTGGATGACATTATAATTTCAGGTGGTCTCTCTTATTTCTTGTCCCAGACCTCAGGTGGCCATCTTCTTTGACTTTTGTTCTCTCCTGCATGATGTCAATGATTTTCTGGGTGGTCTTCCTCTTGCCATTGATCACTTCAGTAGTGGTTAACACTGATCTGACACTGTGTGGCCCAACTGCTTCCTCAGCAAAGGAGGAGTTGGGCTGCTCGCTGGGTCTAAATGAATTCTGTCGCATAAATGAGTCCACAAAGTCAGAAAATGAGCCCACAAAGTCAGAAAATGAGTCCATAAAGTCAGAAAATGAGTCCATAAAGTCAGAAAACTGGCTGGAGCTTCCTCTTCTGCTTGTTCTGTGCCGGTTTTCACCATTGTTTCTGATGTTGTAGAAGGGATCCCTCTGATTCATCCCTCTGAAGATCTCCTCAGGTTCACGGAATATGTAAGGGGAATCAAAGGAGCTGTTATAAGCCCCCATGGCACTTTCTCTGTCGTAGAGCGATCGTTTCTGAGGGTTGGACAAAACCTCATATGCCTCAGCAATTGCTTTGAATTTCTTTTTGGCTTCCTCCTTGTTGCTGGGATTCTTATCAGGGTGCCATTTTAGTGCCAGTTTGTGGTAGGATTTCTTAACATCCTCCTGTGAGGCGCTTTTTTGCAGTCCAAGGACTTTGTAATAATCCACCATCTCAAAGGAAAAGTGGGGCTGTTTGGAAGGTGCCTGGTACCTCTCTCCTACCGAGATCGTGAAGCCCAGGGATGACCAGCACACAGAAGCTCCTGGACGCCTAGCGCTGCTGTGTACCTCAGGAGTGGGTAGATGGTCTGTTCATCCCTTGATCTGCTCTGTCCTTTCAGAGATTGTGACCTCAGAGGGGGCTTAGCCAATCATTACTCAGTTGACCTGACATCATTCTAGGGTGGTGTTGGTTGTCACTGGCTTTATGTTTTGAAACGTAGATCATACATGTGACGTTGTAATTGCCCAATGTAGCTGTGATGTCACAACTGTGATGTATGACTTTGTCAGATTTTTGCCTGTACCTGCCCAAAGGTGGGATTCTCAGATACTCAGCGTGATTTCGTGTGCTGTCTAGCAAAGTGCAGTGTAGTGAGGTCATATTACTCCCATGGGGCATATTACCCTATAGCAGCAGCTATAAGAAAGCTCTTTGCAGTTTGGCTACCTACAGTTTCGTTGACAAATTGGAGAAGGCTCAGGGAAGAGCCATAAAATGCGGTTAAGGGTTTGGAAAATACGCTCTGGAGTGAGACACTCAGGGAAAGTGTCAATATTAATAGGAAGTTCAGTATTAGCTTCATCATAGGCTGTAAGAACCCGCATGTGAACAGAAATTCAATGGCACAGGGATCTTCAGGCTCCTGGACAAAGCAGTTGAAAGGTGGATTAGCCAAATTTAAACTCACAATACGTTGCACGTCCTTCGTTATGAAGGTAATGAATCATTGGAATCTCCTCTTGTGGCCATTTTTAAACCCAGAGTGGGCTCTTTC